TTAACTGATCCACTTTCTCCATGTTTAGTATAAGCTTTAATATTATATCGATTTTTAAAACTTTCAAGCCATCCATTTGTAAATGACATCGTTTCTCCAGGATATAATTTGATTAAAAACTCATTTGCTTTTTCTTTAATTATTTCTCCACTAATTGAAACTTTATCTTGATAGTTTAAAAACCATTCATATAATGCTGTATCGAGTATAGGAAACCTAACAGACTTTATTTTTTTTTGTGTAGGATTTTTTGTTCTATTCTCCAAAATCTCAATTGATCGTTTAAGTGTTTTAGAAATAGTTAATTGATCGATCTTGATTTTAAATTGTTGTTCAAACCATGTACCTAACTCTAATTGAGTAATTGCTGGTTCATTTTTTTTTTTTGACATAATGCAACTCTTTGTATATTAGTAATAGCTTGTCGTTTAGTAGACATTCTTATATATATATATGTAATTTTTTTTTTGATTTTTATATTTAATCTATGTTACACAATCATATTTATAATAAATAATTTATATTTAAAATATGATATGTTTATTTACGGTTTATGATTATAACTTTAAGTACAAAATTAGTTCAAAAAATTTATATGATTTTATAAGAGTTATGATTATTTACGGGTTGATTATATACAGGTTCTACTGTATATAAGTAACAGAAGAAGGGACAAAAATAAGGGAATTCCAGACAAGTACTACGCAACTCTGACATTCTCCTAGATTCCATTGTTGAACATTTGCTCTATTACCTGACCCACACACACTACACTTAAGGAATTGCTATATGAGTAGCAACCCCCTAGATCCCCAGATCTACCGATTGATCTATAGTGCTACCCAACAGCTCAGACCAAATACACACACCTCTTTCGAGTAGAAGACATGCTCCATTATTACACGACGGGAGGCGCGCTCAAGCGACAGACTTGCTGGATTTTCACACCAACAATATTTTTGCTCAATTAACTTAATTATTGTTATTATTAGTTTTTCATGAGCTTCATTTAATAATTCTTGTCTTATGATTCGACATACTAATATCTGACATATCTTGACAAAATTAATTAATATTTGGCAATCAATTTTCAAAAGATATTTTCATAAAACAATAGTCACATATATTATAAAAAAATTCCTTTATTGGTTGGCAGTAAAGTTTGAAAAGCCTTTTCTGTAGTTTATTTTTCTTGAGATTCGACCAATATCAGATGGTACTTAAAAATTTTCCATTGTTGCTTGTATTTCATTTAATGTATTATTTGTCAATATTCTTTCTTCAATCCATATTTGTTTAACAAGCCATTTATCAATACCTAAAAAAAAACAGTACATTGGATTGATAACCAAATACTAAATAGGATCAAAATATGATAAGTAAAGAAGCTCAGACTATCTAACTAAATTCTTATTGACAAAATACTTTCGTAACACATTTGTATTACAATTTCTCTATTCGGTAGCATTTTATATATGTATTGTCAAATTTCTTGATATAAACTATTCGTTTATATTTTTTATACCACCAAAGTTATATTGATTATTTACATAGTTAGTTTTTTTTTTACAATAGTAACAAGATACTAATGCCAAAATGTGTTCATATACTTTGTATGCTACAGAAATATTACATGAAACTAGGGCTCCAAAAAAGTACCAAACTGGTATCGAAATAGTACTGATCTATAGTAAATTTAATATATGGGTTGTGACCTACTTATATGTTTTTATAGTAAATTTAAGTATTAAACTAGTATTGAAGTGGTATTGTTAGAAGCTCTACATGAAACTAAAATTAAAGCCATTTGAATTATTCTTCCTTTCTTATTTTCAGTAGTTGATTCTAACATTATTTCTTGCCATAATTGTATCAATTCATCAACAATTGATGCAAGATATTGGTTTATTTTATGTAAGCTTGGTTTACTGAAACCTGATAATATACCAAGAATCAACATATTTTCTTGCTTAAAGCATATATTATATGGCAAATTAGTAATGGCTGCATATATAATACCAGTACTATAAATTTTGTTATCATATGATTAAAACTAGTCAATATTCAATACCAATCCTAAATGCAAATCAGCTGTTTCTTTATTAAAAAATAATTTAGAATTTCCATCTTTAAAAGTTTTCCAAATATTGCTATTATAAATATCATATAATAATTCATCTGTGTTTGATTGATTTATTCAGTGCCAAAGATTAGATTTAAAATTTGGATTTTGATACATTTGAAATAATTGCTATCAAATAATTACATAAGAAAAAATTAATTTTAACTGATTAATGCTTCTATTTAATAATTTGAACTGTATAGATAATGGAGTATTGCAAATTTTTCTTTGAGTTGTTGAATTTGAAAATTTGATATAAACACACTTTATTATTAATAGCTGATTGTTTTTTTGGAAACTTAGTATATCATCTGTTTATATAATTTGTAACATTTTTGATATACTATAAAATTAATGAATTAATCTAATAATCCAAGTAATTTTTTGGCCATGTATAATGATCCACAAAAAAGTTCATATTCGCTGTCACTGATTTTAATTAATACCAACTTTATAAATTTTATAAGTGCTTCTATTACAATATCTGGCAAATTAAATCTTATTCTAAAGTTTATAATTCATAATAAAATCCATATAAAATGGCTATCAGCAAATTCATTAGAATGTGGTGAAACTTTATAATTAGAAGCTGAATAATTTTCAAACATGTCATTAGAACTGCTGTTAAATTCATTATCAACTTTGGATTTAGATTTATTATTTTCGATTTCAGATTCAGATTTGTCATTTTCAGTATTAGTATTATTTGGTATTGAATTTTATTGATTATTGCTTAAAGCTATAATTTGATTTAGTGAAATATTCTTAATTCTTTGCTAAATAGTAAATTTTTGATCTGCCAAGTTTTTAGTTTTGTTTTTTGATATCTATACAAAAACTTTGTTTGTGAATCAACAAGTAATTTATTGCATTTATCACAGTTACAAATAACTTTCATTTTTTATATATAACAATTTTTTAAATAGAACTTTGAACTTAATATAAAAAATCAAATTTATAACAACATAATAATTTGTATTATTAATATTTTTTAAAAATGTAAAGATTAGCAAAATTTTTTTATTTTTTTTTTGAACCTTTGCTAAGTAAAGTTGAGATTAAACATTTTCTTGTCATTTTAATTGACAAATATTAAACATAAAGTGACAAAAGTTATTATTTAACTCCGAATTGTCAAATGTTGACAAATTTTAATATAATACATAAATTTTAATACAATATAATAAATTCTTATTTAATAAGACTAAATAATGAATATAATATAACAAATTTAAATATAACAATATCAAATAATGAATTTTTAATATAAAAATACTTAATAAAATTTTATATAAATATTTTTATTAATTTAATCAAAATTAATTTGTGTCGAAATGTCTAAACAACAAGAAAAACTATCTGATAAAAATATTTATAAAGAAAAGTCACAATATTTGTTATTTTCACAACCTTCAGAACATTCTTTATAATTCCAACAATTATTTTTATCTGTTATATTAGAAGAGTATATAATAACCACTAGTATCAAAGATTCAATTTCTATAATAACAGCTGAATTACTTAGAAGAAGACTATCTCTTTCATTATCTGCAAGCTTAGCAACTAAAGTTGCATAAGTATCAACTTCTGAATCAAAGTTTGTAATTTGAACTCAAGAGAAAATAGAAAAAGGTATAATTTAAATTATTTTTAAATTATAAAACCTACTTTTACTAATTTGTTAATTTATTTAGAAAATGAAGAATTACATATAAAGATGAATAAACCAAAAAAAGCAAATATCAATTTTAAGGGACAATTAGTTACACTGGAACATATAAATAGAATATTTTCCAATAAATCAAATCAGCAAAAGAAGTATATTAAATACCTAAAAAAGAAAAATGAACAACCAAAATCGCATAAATCAGCATTAGAGCCAATAGTAATTATAGACAAATCTCAAAGGTAACTTGAACCTCAAAATCAATCTAAACTTGAATACTAAACTGAACTTGAATACCAATCCAAACTTGTGCCTGAAGTTGAAACTGAATATATAATTTCAGATTCTGAAAATATGCTGAAGATATTAAAAAGCTTAAGAATTCAGTTCAAAAAAAAGGATAAAGATGTTAAAAAGAGTAGAAACTGTTTTTAAAGATGAAAAAAAAAAGGAGGTAAGGGCTGAAATAAAGATTCTGATAAAAACTATTCCTAAAGAATTTCAACTAAGGGTAGATGAAATTTATTCAAGTAATGCAAATAAAAAAATATTAAACAAGTTAATATTTGAATTATTAAAATTAATAACCATACATTTAAATTTATTATGAAAACAGCTGTACAATTGATTAGATACTTTATATTGTTATCAAAGAGAAAGACATCGAAAAGCACAAACAGAAAAACTAAATATAGACAATCATTACTTATATGCAAATAGTCAATTAAATGAGGTAAAATCAATTGATATTTATATTATATTATTTGTATTAATTTTTATTAAATAATAAAAAAAAGGGTACAAAGAATCAAAAGTACACAGTTACTTATCAACAAAAAGTCTAAGAATATTGCAAGATATCAGAAGAAATTGATCAATATAATTAAAGAACCAAGAGTCCATTTGGCTAAAGAAAGTGAAACTGATCCAAAAAATGATAATAAAAAAAGAATAAATATATATGACTATAGTTAGCATTCTGATGAGATATTTTTTAATAAATGATTTTATGCCAAATAATTAATTTATTACTAATTATTTTATAGTTAAAAGATTTATTGAAAAATTTAAATAAATATTCAAAGTCGATTTAACCATTTCAACCAACTTATAAACAAATCTATAACAAATCTTATTGTTACAATATAACCTTGCCAGAAAACATACCAAGTTGGGCTTATAAATTAAAGAATGAAGAGCAAGAAATAGAACAAAGTAAAAAAGATAAACAATTAATAAAAAAATATAAAAGATGAAAGATATCTGATTATAAGGAATTACTTATGTATTCAGAGGAAAAGAAACATCAAACTAAAGAAAGTATACAAATGGGCAAAATTTGAAGGCAATATTAAAGAAGAAAAGTAAGAAAAAATCACAAGAAGCACAAGAAGCATAAAAACCATAAAAAAGTAATCCAAAGTAAAGAAAACTTGGCATTATAAAATTTTCAAGAGTTATAAGGACCATGGCAAAATCAACAAAAGAAAAAAATGAAGATTATAAGCAGAAATATTCAGATAAAAAAATAGAGGAATTTAATAAATAATATGTGAATAATTACCGAATAATTAATTAGTAAAGAATTAGTGAATAATTAATAAATAACTAGTAAATAATTATTTCAAATTTTATATTTTTTACATTTTTA